TAGCTTGTGAGATCAGCTACTTACTTCACAAGTAAGAATGCCACACGCGATAGTCTATCCGTAATAACGATATCCGTATCTCGTTATTACCTCGACCACGGACGATTTAAGATTCAGTCATATGTAATTTGTATCTCACAATCACAACTCCTTGTGATTAACAAATCACCAAGACTTGAATCTACGGATTCTATTATTTAATTTATTAAAATATTAATTCAATTAAATAATAGATATTGCCATACATATACATTGATTATATATATTCAAAGTGTTTATGTCCAAAGTTGATTGGACCTAGGGCATAACACTTACAATAAGAATTATTTACAAGATATACCTTCTTTAGCTTGGGGCATCCCCGAGCAAAGTAACCCAGCACCTGACAGTTATAGCTTGTTCTTGTCTTTCTTCTTTCCAAACCACTTACCCTTCTCGTTGCATTTGGATTTTCTCTTTTAGGTCCCTTTCCAGTCTCTTTTCCTTTCCATTTTCCTTCTTTGGTCCTGTTCTTCTTACACTTAAAGCCTCAACCACAAAAGCATGTCCGAAAGATTTAGCTGCACCAAGGCACTCGTCCTCTAGCTCCACATGGCGGGCAGTTTCAACAAATTTGAAAGTTTGCATATTGATATACAGCAATAATCATATTATATTCATATTTATCTTTCAAGAATGTTCATCGACTAGAATTAGGCATCGTATTGAAGAGGTAAATCCTCGAATGTATTGTCGAGAGCCATGAAGAAGTATTCAAAGCCGTTAGCGGAAGCGGTCTCAATAAAGAATGTCAAACCAAGATTAGTTCTCTCCATGTTATGACTATAAAAAATTTAGCACAACTCTTCGGTCCCCCAAAGCACATTCTTTAGCCTTCTAGGCTTTTTACTAGCTCATGACCATCCTAAACTCCTGATGGATGTTATAAATAATGTCTGCAAGTCTGTAAACTGCCATTGGATCTTAAAACCTACACATTAAATGTCTTTTTATATTACATGATCTTATTTGTCGGTTATCATTACGTTGAATAGTTACTAAGCAAGTATGATTGTGTGCATAATGGTGAACTATAAAGAAATCTGTTGTATAAAACTTTGTGATTCACTAACGCTACTTGCAAGTTTATCTACACAGACAATTGTACAGGTGGTCCTATTTAATTTATTTACTTTGAACTCGAAGTTGTGTTTCAATGTAATCATATGCATAATACTGAGATTAATCAATGAAATCCTAGTTTGTAAATGAAAGTTCCTCCTCATTATCTTGAATTAACTTGTGTTTATGTGTGGATAAATAATGAAAGTCTTGTTTGTAAATGAATTTTTTTCTCATTATCTTGAATTATCTTAGGGATTATTCTTTGAGTAACATTGAGATCCTGACATGTAAGAATTTTCTACGAAACTACGTCATCCTTCTGAGCTATCTCCATTGTGTAAAAACCATCCATATTATGGCCCATATAATCACTTGCTTCATGTCATCCACGGAGATATCCTTTCTTACAAAAGTTACATAAAGAGGAGCATAATGATTTTGGTTGAGTTGAATTAGCCACCTCACTTAAAAGTCAAAAGTAATTTTTATCAGTGGAACCAACAAATGTTAATTGTAGAAAAAGAAATTCGAAATCCATCTCGTATTCAGAAGGATCAACATTGAAGAGGTCTTGTAGGTCACACAATACACGTCCCTATTGATGTATTCACTAATGCACGAAGTGCCGCAACACCTTTTCCATGATTCCCGGATTGAATTCCATGTCCATCAATCATGTTTATTACTTAGAAATTTACCGAAGTAACAAACTGAGAGGTGCATTTTAATATAAAATTCAATAAAAAATTAGATAAGTATGACGTAAAAGGTTAATTGGGCTTCACGGACAATCTTGTTAGAGGTGCATTTTAATATAAAATTCAATAAAAAATTAGATAAGTATGACGTAAAAGGTTAATTGGGCTTCACAGACAATCTTGTTAGAGGTGCATTTTAATATAAAATTCAATAAAAAATTAGATAAGTATGACGTAAAAGGTTAATTGGGCTTCACAGACAATCTTGTTAGCATACAATCAACAGTCCATTAAACGTTAAAAGACACGACCATATGTTAAACATAAATCTAGAACATTTGTTTACGAACGATAAACTATATTTTACTATTAACAGACCGTATGTTTTGCTATTCAAAAAGTTGGAATATGTTAGTTTCTAGTAACTGTTCACGAGATGTTTGTATTGAGTTTTTGAAGAAATTTTTGAGGTTTTAGTATTGAATGAGATAAAGTATGAAAGAACCATTGATTTGTTTTAAATTTGAATTGGGATGACATGTTTATTTTGTAATTGAAAGAGTATTCACATCTTATTATCTTTAACTTATTTTAATAATTTATATACCTTAAGAAGGATATTTTTATCTTTCTCTGAAAGAGTGACCTTTGATACTTATAGTTTGTAAGTTAAACTTATTATCTAATTCCTCCTTCACTATAGAACATTTCCCTTCTTTTCCCCTTACAAGGTCCTTTCGGTGAATGAAGTAAATAAGTTTGATTCTTTAGTATCATAAAAATTACGTGATTATTCTCAGTAAATAAATTAAAATCCCTTTGAATACAAGAGCTTTCGGACAAAGAAATACAGTTGGAAAGGGCTTGCCAGTTGCCACCAAATGCTCTTCCCAACACTATAATGTTTGACAGACTTTTTTACTGTTATGGCTGTCCTAAAAACTCCCACTGCTCCCAGACAAAGCTAACGTTATAATTAATGAGATGAATGAGCGTG